CCCCCCTCCTCCTTCCCGCTCGTATAGGCCGATTGCCCCCCTGCTCCCAAGATTTGCCTTGACGCCGACCCCTTGGTTGACTCTCCCCCCCCCCGCCCCCCGCCCCCCTGCTGCCCTTCGCAGACTTCAGCTGTTTTCACCAGTGGCATCCTCCCTTTCTCCCTGCCCAAGCACTCTCCCTGCCCTTTTCTCTTTCCCTCCATGACCATGTCGGCCCCTGCTAGCAACCTCCAGAACATCCTGGACCAGGTACGGTCTCGGCCGCGCATTTGCCTCGCCTCTCTCCTGCTCGTGCTAATGCCCCGCATCACCCTGCTGGCGCCATCCGCCGGTTCGCCTTTGCCCGCGCCCAGACCTCGCTCCGCTGGATCTTCGTCGGTGGCAAGGGTGGTGTCGGTAAGACCACCACCAGTTGCTCGCTGGCCATCCAGCTGGCCAAGGTCCGCGAGTCGGTCCTCCTGATTTCCACCGACCCCGCTCACAACCTGAGCGATGCCTTCGGTCAGAAGTTCAGCTCCACCCCCACTCTGGCCGACGGCTTCTCCAACCTCTTTGTCATGGTCCGTTCTTTGATGCAGGGCATCCGGCCAGGCTGCTTCCCACTTGCGTGATCTAACTTCCCCATGCTGCTGCGGCGCTGCCCCTGCCGGCCTCCAGGAGATCGAGTCGTCCGTCGACGTGCCCGGCGGTAACATGCCTGGCGAGGAGGGTACGCCCACCACCCTGTTGCCTCGCTGTCTTGCCACGGAGTTGCCAGTCGGCTCCCATCACTTGTGTGCTCTCTCCCTCTCTCCCCTTATGTCTATTTCTGACCTCTCCTCGCTGGGTGGCTCGTGTCCGGCCCTCTCTTTGGGATCGATCTTCCGACCTTCCCCCCCCCGTCTCCCCCTCGTGCTTGCAGAGGAGGAGAACAGCATCAGCACTCTCCTGCGCGACGTTGCCTCCAACCTGCCCGGTATGGATGAGGTTTCCGGCATGATGGAGGTCATGACGTGCGTTGCCCTTTTCCGCCGACCCTCCTGCCCTCTTTTTTTTTCCCTGGCACGCCCTCCCACTGACAACAACACTTCGCCCTCCCCCTAATGCTGCACAGCCTCGCCCAGGAGGACAAGTACTCGGTGGTCGTCTTCGACACCCCCCCCACTGGCCACATGCTCCGCTTCATCTCGATGCCCTTCGTCTTCGAGAACTCCATCCCCCAGCTGTTCGGCTCCGACAGCCCGATCGGCCCGCTCATCACTCAGATGTCCTCCATGTTCGGCATGGACTCCTCGGCCTTCGACCGCTTTGACAAGATCAAGGTCGTCATGGAGAACATCCGCGAGCAGTTCTCCAACCCCGTGCGTCACCATGTGCCCGATATCATCCGGTCTTTCCCCATGCTTCGCCCTCTCCCCGAATTGGGCGTCTGGCTTCTCACACATCACCACCATCACCGTCGCGTCCCCCCCCCCGCACCCCCACGCGCAGGAGCGTACCACCTTCATTTGCGTCTGCATCAGCGAGTTCCTGTCTCTCTACGAGACCGAGCGCCTGATTCAGGAGCTGGCCAAGTACAACATCGACGTGCACAACATCGTCGTCAACCAGCTTCTCGTCCCGGAGCAGGGTGCGTATTCGGCTCCCGCGCCCCTCTTGCCCCTCCTGCTGGATACTCACACGACCGTCTGGGAAATCCCCGCCACCCCGGTGTCATATGCACAGCCTCCAGCTGCAAGTACTGCATCAACCGCCACAAGTCCCAGCAGAAGTACATGTCCCAGATTACCGAGCTCTATGGTGATGACGACTTCCACATCGTGCCGATCGCCGCCCGGGTGCGTGAGATTCGCGGTGCCGACTCCCTCAACGCCTTTGGCAATGCCCTGATGGCCGGCCCGGTCAACGGCGAGATCGCCGCCCGCGTTGTCATCCCCGGCGAGTCGGACGACGTCATTGAGGATTAAACAGGACGGTGGCAACGGGCCAAAGATTGTCCCCATTCCCCTCACCCGGATCCTGCCGATATTATCGCCCCCATTTTCCCCCCGCGTGTGGGCGCGCGAACGGGCCCACAAGTACAAGGCACGTCTCCGTGCATGACCATGTGTCTATGCATTTGCGTGTGAGGGTGCTCCAGGCTGGGGGCTCCTCCGCCCTGTTGGTGGGAAAGGCGGGTCACCAGCGGAGGGGATGGCAGTGTCGACTGTCCGCGCCCGTGCTGTTGTGCGTGCACGCGAAATACACACTCTAAAATGGAAAATGGCAGCACGATTTCCCGCACCAGGTCGCGGGCTTCGAGAGAGAGAGAGAGAGAGAGAGAGAGAGAGAGATGAGAGAGGGCGAGGGCGAAGGCGAGGGGGGGCGATCGAATGATGACGCGAAGCCCAGACCCGAGACAGGCGATCGGGCTCGCCTGGGGGAGGGGGAGGGGGGCGGAGATCAAATGCCGCCGTGTGTTGCACACTCGGCTTTCCTCTCCTCTCCACGGCGCCCTGAAAAATGGGCTGCGGGGAGGTCAGATTTCTCGGGCCCGGCCAATCACCGTCGACCGGGTACAACGAAAATGAGAACCGAGTCTCCATTGACAGCTGGGGGATATGGATGTGCAGCATGCTGGAGTGTGTAGAACCATCAGCAGCATCCGCATGGGATCAGGGGTCTTTGTGGGGGGTGGCTCCGGACCGGGCGAGACCCAGGTGTGGGGTTCTGCGAGCCCAGCCGGGAAGGGCATACGGGGCTGGTGTGCTGAATTAATGGACTGGAAGGACGCCAGGGACAGAGTGACCCTGGGGCCAGTGTATACTGGTTTGGGCGGGAGGGCGAGCTGTTCCGAGCGGGGACGCGGGCGCGGGCGCGGGCGCAAACGGCCAGGTGCGCTCGGCCAGGCACCAGAAAATAAACGCCCCCCCCCCCCGCCCAGGGTGGAGCCGAGATGAAGCATCGTGCTCGGGCCGCCGGGCCTGAGCATGAGCGAGGAGGAGTTCAACATGTCTGCATGCCAAGAGCGCCCCTCAAACAGGCTGGACGGAAGACAGGCCCGCCCCCCCCCCCGCTCGAGAGGCGGCACCCAGCACCTAGACGCGGAAGTGTGCCGGGACGCCGCCGGAGGGGGCCCATTGAGAAACGGTTCGGGGCCGTTGCCCGAGCGAACTTCCCCCCGGGTGATGTGGTGTGGTGTGGTGGTGAGGGGAGAGGGCGGGGGATCCCCACAAGAGACACGCCCTCCTCTCGCCGGCTGGACCCCCACGACCGGGAAAACGCGGCAGTCATTTTCCCCGCAGGCTCCCTGCGCACTCGGGGGACAAGCGCGCCCAGAACGAAAGGGCCATCCCGAAAGTTGGCGCGCGGCCTGGGAGAAACGTCGGCCTGCTTACCCAGCACCGCTCGGCCGGCGAGGGCCAGGCCGCTGTGCGGGGAACGTGGTGCCTTGACACCGGGGCCTGACACCCTTCGCCGCCTCTATCGGGCGGGCGCGCAGGGTCAACGTATATTTTTTCCCCTCCGGCTCCGAGAGGGGAGGCCCCCGAGAGCAGCACTGGGGCGAGGGGGGGGGGACGTTAGAGCCTATCCCCGCCCGGTGCGCGGGCACCGAGGCGGCCCCAAACTGGCGAAGGTTCGGCCCCGACTGCGCGGGCACTTTCGCCGGCCAGCCGCCTTCCTGGCTCCCTGGCAGGACACCCCTTCAACGGGGTGGGGAGGAGGCGCGGGGAGAGCCGGCCCGATCGTGACAAGAAATATGCCTCCGCCCCTGGAGCCGGTCGGTGCAGAAATAAATTCAGGGGCGAGGTCAGGAGCATCCCCCGCCCCCCCCCCCTCCCCCCCCGGCGGGCAGTTCTCGGCGAGAAGGAGGCAACATATTGCGCTTTGGGGACCCAATATATTCCCAGTCATATTCATTCCTCCCGGCTGCACGCCCGGTGTTCCTAGTTCCCCCGGGACTACTCGAGAACATAGCCGCCGGCGCAATACCGCCGCATTCGCTCACGCTCATGCATGTGCGCAGAAAGGTGCCATCGCTCGTGCTTGTGCAGGCGTGCGCGCGCGCGCGCGCGCAGAAACGGTTTCCCTCCCACCAGGGCGCGCACTTGCGCCTCGGCCCCCCCCCCCCCCACGGAGACGTCCACCCTTGTTGGACACCCGGAGGCCGCCAGGCCCTGAGTCCCGGGGCTATCACCCGCGGCCCTGTACAGAGGTGTATGTGTGCGTGTGTGCGTGTGTGCGTGTGTGCGTGCGTGTGTGCGTGCGTGTGTGCGTGCGTGCACATAGACAAGCGTATGTGTGCACGGTGCGCCTGCGGGTGTATCGCGCAACAGGAGGTCGGCGGGGGCCCTCCAAAACAGGAAACACGAAGGGGAGTGTGTGGACACGCTCTCGCCTTTTCCTCGGGCCGAGGAGTCCCACATTTTCAGACCCCGGCCCAGGCGCTCTGCCTCTCGCCAGACGCACAGCACCCGATGCCTATCTGAGGTTTGGCCTTGTCCGCCCCCTCTCTCCCTTCCCCCCCCCCTCCCTCCTCTCTAGCAGTCCCCCCCCCTCCTCTCCCGTCCTCCCCCCCCCCTCGTCCCACATGTTCGTGACCCATGTTGTCGCCTCTGTCATTGTCGCCTCCACCGAGCATTGGCGCCCCCCACCCGTCCCTCCCCCTGCCCGCCGCCCGCGTCCTGACCTCCCCCTGACACGCCGCTCACCCCCCTTGGGCCATTCATTTGCCCCTTCCCCTTCTCCCCCTTCGCCGCAGTTGGGCTCGCCACTCACGGCTTACTACTGTTCGTTGCCCCCGGCTCTCCGCTCCCCCCCCCCCTCCTCCCCTTGCTTTCTTGCTTTCCCCTCCATGCGCCGCCCCCTCACACCCATTCCCCCTCGTCGGCTGGTGTTCCCATCAGTTTAAGTCATGTCAGCTGGCTCTTCCGCTGGTTACTTCCACCAAGGTCGCGGCCAGGAGGCCATGCCCGGCGCCCCTGGCGCCGGCAGCGCCCCCGGTGCCAGTAATCCCCCCGGCACTGGTAACACCGGTGCCAACAACACCCCCCAGGGCGGCCCCCACTCCTCGATGCAGCACATGCCACACATGTACCATCCCAATCCCTACATGTCCGGCTATCCGGCCGGCTATGGCGCGATAGGCGCACAGTCCGGCGCCGGGCACAACGTCCCCTACTGGTACAACCAGGCCCCCCCTTCGGCCGGCATGTACAACCTCTCCTACCCCAACGCCGCCATGATGGTCCCCTCCATGTCGCCCTACGGCCACCAGGGGGTCTATTCGATGATGGGCCCGGCTGGCACCAGCCAGAGCACCGGCCAGGGCACCATGCCGCACACGGGTAGCCACTACCACCCGGGCATGCACCACCCAAGCATGCCGCACTATCCCATGCCGGACATGTATTACAACTACTCCATGATGATGGGCATGCACCCGGGCGCCATCGACCCGACCACCGGGCTTCCCATGCACCCGCAGCAGCAGCAGCAGCAGCAGCAGCAGCACCCCACCCAAGCGCCCCAGCACCAGCAGCAGTCCTTCCCCGCCGGCCCACCGCAGAATGCCCCCTCGCCGGCCGCTGCCGGCAGCAAGCAGCAGCAGCGCGCCGCCGCCGCCGCCGCCGCCGCCGCCGCCGCCGCCGCTGACGGCCACTCCACCACCTCCTCCTCTTCCTCCTCCAAGAACAACTACTCCTCCCGGGCGCAGGGCAGTGCTGGCAATGCTTCGCACGCGGCGTCCGTCGCCGCGGCCGGTCCGGCCCCCTCGGGCGTCTCCTCCCCGGCCGAGTCCGGGGCCGCCTCCAGCTCCTCGTCTCGCGGCGCCTCCGATGCCGCCACCCCCACCTCCAGCAACACTGCCACTGCCTCCTCCTCCCGCTCGGCTGCTGCCCCCAGCACCAACTCGAAGTCTGCCGCCTCCGGCACCACCACCACCACCACCGCCACCGCCACCCCGGCCGCCACCCCGGCCACCGCCGCCACCACTGCCCCGATCGCCTCCCAGACCGCCGCCCCGGCCGCCACCCCGACCACCACCGCCACCACTGCCACCGGCCATGTCAAGCAGTCGCCCCAGCAGCGGCCGATTCCGGCGGCACAGCCTGCCAGCGGCGCGGCCATTCGCCCGCGTCCGGCTGCCTTCCAGGGCACCGGCATGCCCGGCGCCATGCCGGTTTCCTACTCGGACCCCTCCTTTGCCGGCTCCGGCCCCAGCCAGATGCACATGCCTTCCGTTCGGCCGGGTGTCCGCCCGATGCTTGCTCGCCCGGCTCCGGCTGGCACCGTCCCGGTTGCCGCCGCGCCCACCGTCATTTCGCAGCCGGCCGCCGTTGCCGGCACTCGTGCTCGTCCGGTCGCCACCCCGACCGCCGCCTCTGCGGTCACTGTTAAGGAGGCCGAGCCCGCTGCCAAGCAGAACACCGCCAAGGCCGCCAAGGCTGCCGAAGCCGCCAAGGCCGCTAAGGCTGCCGAGGAGGCCGCCGCTGCCAAGGCCGCCAAGGAGGCCGCTGCTGCCAAGGCCGCCAAGGAGGCCGCCGCTGCCAAGGAGGCCGCCGCTGCCGCTGCTCGGGCGGCTGCCCCGCCGACCCTGGCCGACATTGCTGCCGGCCGCCGGAAGCCCCTTCCGGCGGGTGGCGCTGCTGCTGCTGCTGCTTCGGCCACCGCCGTTGCTCCGACCGCCGCCGCCGCCGCTGCCGCTCCGACGGTCAAGGCCGCCGCTCCTGCTCCTACTCCTGCTCCCTCGCCGGCTGCCGCCCATGGCAAGTCCACCGAGTCCCACAAGAAGACCGCGGCCGCCACCTCCAGCCCGACTGTCGCGCCCGCCACCGTCGCCGCCCCTCCGGCTAAGCCCGCCGTCATGTCCTTCGCCGCGGTGGCTGCCAGCAAGGCCGGGCAGCCGCCCTCCGGTGGCACGGCCACTGTCACCTCTACTGTTGTGACGGTGGCTCCCTCTTCGTCGTCGTCGTCGGCCGGCGGCCGGCCGGCGGCGCGCCAGACCCCCAGCACCGCTCACGTTGCCGACTCGCTCAAGAAGCTGGACCTCAGCGGCCCCAACATCCCGGACGACTTCTCCAACATCCCCCGGCCCCCGGTCGACACGCGCCTTAAGACCGAGGACGTCACCCGGACCCGGTGCCTGGACTTCTCGGACTTCGACCTGAAGAAGGAGCTCCTGCTCGGCCTGCACACCATGGGCTTTGAGAAGCCCTCTCCCATTCAGGAGGAGTCCATCCAGATTGCCATCGCCGGCAAGGATATCATTGCTCGTGCCAAGAACGGAACCGGCAAGACCTGTGCCTATCTGATTCCGGTGCTCGAGCGTCTGGACACCCGGTCGAACCACCTCCAGGGTGCGCACACATTGGCCGGGGAGGGGGCTTTCCTTTGCTGCTCCCTTGCCCTTGCTTCGGGAACAACCCCTCGCCCCTGAGCAGGGGACCGGGGCCGGCCCATGCATTTCCCTTCCTTGCCCGCTTACAGTCCTTCCATGATCGCCACCATCCCCCCTCCCTCCCCCCCCCCCTCACCCCCCCCCACCTCACCCCACCCCACCCAGCCATCATCCTTGTCCCGACCCGCGAGCTGGCCCTGCAGACTGGCAACGTTTGCAAGGAGCTCTCGCGCCACTTCAAGCCGGCCGTCGAGCTGATGACCTCCTTCGGTGGCAGCGACTATCGTGACGATCTGATCCGCCTCAAGCGCCCGGTGCACATCATTGTCTCCACCCCCGGCCGCATGCTGGACCTCTTCAACCGCCAGCGGGTGTCGCTCAATGCCTGCCGCATGTTTGTCCTCGATGAGGCCGACAAGCTCCTTTCCCAGGACTTCCTGCCGGCCATCCAGCAGCTGCTGACTCTCTTCCCGGAGAAGCCGCAGCTCCTGCTCTACTCGGCCACCTACCCGGTGTCGGTGCAGGACTTCGTCACGGCGGCCATGCACAAGCCCAGCATGATCAACCTCATGGATGATCTGACCCTGCGCGGTGTGACCCAGTACTATGCCTACATGCAGGAGCGCGACAAGCTCCAGTGCCTGTACAGCCTCTTCACCAAGCTTCGCATCAACCAGTCGATTATCTTCTGCCGGAGCCACACCCGCGTGGAGAATCTGGCCCAGCAGATCACCCAGCTCGGCCTGTCTTGCTACTTCATCCATTCGAAGATGCTCCAGGAGGATCGGAACCGCATCTTCAACGACTTCCGCGAGAACAAGTTCCGAAACTTGGTGTGCTCCGACCTGCTCACCCGTGGTGTTGATGTCCAGTCGGTCAATGTTGTCATCAACTACGACTTCCCGTCCACCGCCGAGACCTACCTCCATCGGATTGGCCGGTCTGGTCGCTTCGGCCATCTGGGCCTTGCCGTCAACCTGGTCACCCCGCATGACATGCCGAATCTCATGAAGATCCAGGAGGAGCTGTCCACCACCCTGGAGCCCATGCCGGCCGTCGTCGACCATCGCCTGTACACCCTCTAAGCAGCAGGAGCCCAGGCCGCCGCTGGTCCAGACGCGAGGCGTGAGGGGAGCGAGGGGCGCGAGCGGGGACAGTAGTGACGGCGAAGGAGGAGGAGGAGCGAGGCGAGGCAAACCCGCGCGATGGCGCGTCTGTGCATGCGCGTGTCCCCCATGTGCTGCGGCTTCTTCGCGACTGCGCAGGTTGCACGCCTCGTCCTCTCTCTCTCTCTCTCTCTCTCTCTCTCCCTGCTGTTCCTCTGGGGGGGAGGGGAGGGAGGTCGTGATGATTCTCCCGCTCCTGCATTACTTCCCCTCCCTCCTTCCCCCTGTGCCTTCGCATGTGTACTCACTGAGCTGGCTCGCCCTTTTGCCCTCTGTAGTCTCGCCCGCGCAACGAGGAGGGCCACCTGTGTCCTTCTTTGTGGCCGCACCCCTTGTCTCTCCCCCGCCCCATCCCGAAAGAGAAAAGGCTGGCGGCGCGCAGAGCCGGTGAGTTGGAGAGGAGAATCGTGCGAGCACGCGCATCTGTCCGCGCGAAGGAAAGTCAATACACATGCACACGCGCTCCTGCCAATCTACACCGACATCGTTTCTCTCTCTCTCTTTCTCTCACTCTCTTGTGCCAGGGACTCCCGGGGGAGGTGTTGTGAGGCGACCCAGAGGTTGGTCCCTCTTTTGTCCCCCCGGTCCTCCCTTCGTCTGCCGCCGTGCCTCCTTCTTTGCTTGTTCGCACTTTTGCCCCGGCGTCCTCCCCCCGCCCGCCCGGGGCGCAGAAGAGCGCAATGACACCCGCCCCGGTGGCCATTCTATCGCAAGTCCATCACAATGGCCATCCAACAGCACCGACGCGATCGGATTAGCTACCGAGACCTCGCATCACGAGACCGCAAGACCGTTCGATTTTGAATTCCCTCCCAGCTCCCCCCCCCCTCGCCCGTCACGATCTGGCGCCGGCAAGGGACTCCGTCTGGCAAAGACCCGGGGGCATGATGCGATCTCGG